GACGCAGATTATGTGGGCTATATATGCCGACACCTATTTCAGCGCATTAACGAGCATAAGCATTCTGTCATTGGTAAACACCTGCGGGACGTATACAATCTGAGGAACAGAGATCTCCGTGACCAATTTACAATCCTCAAGAAATGCCGTGGGGAACTGGATTGTTTATTTTATGAAATGCTCTTCATCAAAAACAAAAAAACCAACACATAACATTCAATCTGACTCCATTAAAGCAAAACTTTTTATTTGAAAGTTCAAGCGCACCACGCTTGATATTTTTATTTTTATTCATCGATTATTTTTATCTCTTATTCATATGCACTGAGACCTTCACTTGTACATACGCTATATAACGAACTCATATAACGTATCTTATTTGAATTTGAGAATGATGGCATGGAGCCGTCGAAAAGTCATTCTTTAATATCGCTGCTTTTTAGTCTTAATTGTTTATCGAAAACCTTAATAATAATAATAATATTAGTGATATCATGAGATCCTGAAATACTAATTCACAAACTCATGCTATCATCGACTTTCTAAAATTAGTGGACACACGCCCCGATAGCGTAAAATAATGATGATGATGATGATTATTTATAACGCATTACATCAAAAATCTCAATGTTAATTCTTACAAAAAATAGTGATAATTTAGGATCAAGGGTCCTTTACAATATTTACTTACAATGTAAAAACTAAGCAAAAAAACAAGATTGGTATGCTTAAAAATTAAATAAAAATGTTTTAAGTCTGTTTTTAAAAATGCCAACGGACGGGGCGCTCCTCACGACTAGTGAAAGGTCATTCCAAAGCATGGGTGTGCAAGATGAAAAAGCGCGACCACCATAGCTTTTTGTCCTAAACACCGGCCTGTACATTCGCAGGTTTTCAGTGGCGTTTGAGCGAAGACACCTACTTGGTTGATGTAATACTATACTAATTCTTTAATTTTGCCGACCTTGACCTACAGGCAGTCCACCTAACACCTCTATATTGTTCTTGAGGAGAAAAATACTGTACATCTTCAGCTGGATAAGACGAAAACAACAGCAGCAACAATAACATAATGGAAACTCACTTCTCTTTAATTTAAAGTTATCCACCGCAATGAAACAAAAACAAATCAGTTGGTTAATTATCTCGCTTATTACTTGTCCGATTTGCAAAAAAACGATGTTACACACTGGAAATCATCCTCATAGAATTGTGTGATTTTCCTAGTTATCAGTAACGCAATTAACTCAACCTAAAAAAATATTCAACTTTCGTTAACCCCTATTAAGCGACCAACTCCTATTGAGCGACCACCTTCCATTCCCCTGAGGGTGGCCGCTTAATAGGGGTTCGGCTGTAAAACTAAAACCAATGGTTACTTGCTAGTACACGTGTTCCCGCGCTTAGCGTCACTGGATTGTTCGTGTTCTTCGTGACTGCCTAGCGCGATTACCTTGGTTTAAGGACACCCGATCGAAAACTGCTCTATTTCGAGCACAGGAATAGGAATAAAGTTGAAGTAAAGCTGCCCCTGAGAACCACTCCACTTTTATGCTGTTATTCATTTAGTTGTTTTTCTTTTTTTCTTCTCAAGGTTAAGTTAAAGACATACGGAAAAAGACCCAAACATGGGTTTTAGCGTACGCCTCGAGCCCGCCTTACCTTGCGACAGTAAAATCTATCATTAGTGAAATGTAATGAAATGTCCATGGGCGGAAGAAGTATAATTTCTATCACGTTGAAGGAAAAAAGAAACTTTGCTTTGGTACAATCTCAGTGTACCTTCAATAAGGCATGAGAGTGAAATTTTGGTGTTCGGCTTAACAATAAAAATCTTCGCTTCTCCTACGAGTAAAGAAAGAATCCCTAGATTTTAGGACTGAGTTTCAGTACAACTTCACGATATCATGGAGGTGTTTACCAATTCTTACCCAAAATCAGTGCCTGTATATTGGGTAAAGAAATTCATAGCGATCAATTTCGGATATCCACAATAATACATGAAAATTTACACATAATCATCATGTAATCTCTTTTATTGATAGCTAAACTATTCAAGGGCTCGCTATGTTAAGCTCTACAAAATTACATTTGTATGTACTGTAGTTGGATAATACACTTTAGGAGGAATAACCATAAGCTACTGTTGGAACTCTACTCAAAATGATATATCTTATCTCGGTGGCTATTGCATGTATCAGACCTGGTATCTAATCTTGTCTCGACAACTTTATTATCATAACAATGATACATCTTAAATCGAGAGGAACACACATAACTTGTTATGTTGACATTATAAGCTGTACATATACCAACTCCATCAATACGTAACATTTTCAAAAAAATAAGAAAAAATATCTGGCATAGCTACAAAAGTGATATGCGTTTGAGTTTAATATTTCAACAAACAATCAAACAAAACAAAACAAAACAATAAAGGCAATAATGCCCACTCCTTCCAGGAAAAAAATGGCATTTTACATAGCTATCATTCTTTCGCTATTTCGATAGGGATTAAACACAGGTTTTGTAAGCCCTTTTAGCTAAACTACGAAGTCAACTTAAATCAATAGCAGTCCGAGTACGAAGGACATTGTTTTGCCAAGGCTGTTCAAAAACTAGCAATTACTTCATAGTAAACCTCTACTTCATCCGCGCAGAAATTATTGTTTCCTGTCCAGAGATGATTGTCGCAGTAGGGGCTAGTGTACGAATGACAGTTAAAGTATGAATTGTAATTACTACTCGCGTAGGAAGAAACATAAATATCGTGCCCCCCACCAAACGTTGGACCATAGCTATAATAGCTGTATGTGGCGTCCTGATAATTCTGGTTGATGTCATTTTTAAAGTATCCGTATCCGTAATAGTTTTTGAGAGAGTAAATGAAGGAGTTTGTTGAGTACTGGTATCCAACGGACCCTGAAACAGAGCAAAATTATCACATAAAATTCATGAAAGGTATTTGAAATGAATTATATGGTTTTGACATATTTTGTCAGCTTATGATCCTCAGCTTACCCCTCCCCCTTCTTTTCAATTTATCCAATAAGACAGCTACCTCCTGCAAAGTAAGTGGTTTTTCCACGTTTACTGCCTGGAATTGAACAGGTTATATGATCTGTCTACACCCATTACTGATGTAAATCTAATTTCGCACAAGTGTACTGAGTATTTGGGCGCCATAAAAAACACGACTGTACTACCTGTGTTGCTACGCTGTGGCGCTGTATACTTATGATATCGGTGTCCAGAAGTACGTGGCTGCATTAACAAATCGTTAATGGTCAGCACATTCTTGATGCAAAAAAGGATAAATTACGGTAAATTGTATCATAGAAAAGAGTTGTTTTCAAACTGTAATTGACTACGATACCGTAATATTTCGGAAATTGTCAGCGCCTACAGCTGGATGATAAGTAATGAGATATTTTTAATTCTTCTTCCATGCTTTTCGTCAATTTTTTTAACTTACGACTTAATGTTAAAGAAAGTTAGATGTATATACTGAAATCTCGATATGAATACTCAGTTTGCCATATTGGGATCGAAAATATTCGCTAAGGTTTAATATATTAGTGGTTCTAAACAATAAAACGTACAT